TCCGTCTTCCCAAACTGTCTCTTCTTCACCTCCCGCCCAACGAGAAAGTACATCCCCTGCACTACAGTTTCCGCCTCATCCATGATAAACCTCGTACAAACCAGCGACTGCGTGAACCAGCTCGTGGGCCGCTGACTCGTCGCATAATTCATGATCTCGAAATCCTGCGGCAGGAACTCTGTCCCCAGGAACGAGTACATGGGAATCCACCTGCTGTCAGGCGTATACCTAATCTGGTAGATCCAGACCTTTTGCGTCTGGTCCGCATACTCAGGCAGGGGCTCATGAACGAGACGCATCTCCGTCGGAGCCATGCAGACCGAAACGACATCCTCTTTCAGTGGCAGGGGGCGGGTAGGCCCATTACCCCCGAAACCGACGTCAACCTGCACAACCATTAGCTTGTAGTCACCAAGAATACTCAGATACTAGGATGAGCATACCGCATACTTCTCCCCCTCAATCAACACAATCAGCACCATATGCGACCTATACCATCATTAGTATATATATATATATATATATATCTATACCACCATCTCCATAGAAATTATCACTCCTAATATAGATAGGGTAAGGATTGAAAAACATACATCCCCGTATACAACCTCTCCAACCCCTCCTTCGCCTGCCCCGTCGCAGCCAAACACACCCTCCCACCCGTCGCGTAAACCGCATACCCTAGAGACTTCAACACCCCATACAGCAGGGTATTATTCTCCATGCAGTAGCCATCCAGCCTACGCGTGATTAACTTCTCATAAACACACGCAGGTCGGATATCAATGGTCCGGTGGTTGGAGTAATGCAGGGCTGAATTTCCCCAGGGAATGGATGCTAAATGCCGCCGTTGGATCTCGTATAGAGTACCCAGGGGATCGGCTTTCACGGCTTGTTGTGCTTGTTGTAATCTGCTGCTGCTGGTGGCGGATTCATTGGAGCCGTAGTGGATCCGCTCGAGGTAGAGGGTGAGTTGGTCGGGGGTGTAGGAGTAGGTATTTGATGCCATTTTGGATGTTTGTTACTGAAGTTTATGTATGAATGATGATGTCTTTAAAGAGTGTGATAGTAAATATGAACGTGGCCACGTTTAGATTAGTTGTCATGAAATTCTACGGAGATCCGCCGGCGTTTTACGGATGAGGAGGGGGGGAAGTTTTCAGTAGGTAGACTACCCCAACAGGAACTTAACTACCAATACTAAGCAAGTTACTTATAGATAACTATCTCATTGGATGGGAACTGACTCGATTGGGTCCGAGGGTTCAATCGGGCCCCCCCACATTTACTTATCCATGTTCGGGAGTGGCGGTGACATTTGTCAGGGACGATCCGGAGGGAGATAGATTGTATCTATACTGTTAGTATCTAGTAGTAAATAGCTATTGTCGGATGAAAGGGGAATAGACAAATAGAGAAGCGGAGTTTGGCAGACGGGATGCATGTAGATCCGATCGGTCGAATGGATAGAAACTACTATTATCTATCTTGTGTGACTATGTATTACACTACTTAGAAGTGAAGCTTTCTCACACATGATGTCAATTGCAATTGATCCTCGGTTATGCAAGAAGGATTCTTTGCAGCTTATCTGATCGATTTCAACTTATCCTTATACCCCTCTCCATGTATCAATCTACTACCTCATACTCCGCATAAGTAGCAACTCAGTATCTATCTACCCACTTCAATTCAATTCACTCCAATAATCATGTCAATCCTCGAAGAAAAGATCTCCCTCTTATACAACTACTCCGCCTGTGATGTACATCCATCCCTCCCCTCACATCCCCTCACCATCACCCATCTATCCAACTAACAAATAATAACATCAGGTCTCCGACGCCCTCCTCAAACTCCAACCCGTCCCTCCCAACACCCCACCCCGAGCAGGCTACATCGCAGACCTAAGTACATCACCATCCCATCCTCCCTACCCATCCTACCTACCAACTAACATCAAAACAGCCCCCTACTACCCACCCACCCAAGATCCATCCTCCACCACACCCCCCAAACTAATCGCCCCAGCCAGCACCCTCCAATTCATCCCCAAATCCACCCCTACCCCCGCAACTTCTAAGGCAATCCCCCCCTCAACGCACTGGTCGGACCTGACCACGCCCTCCACCATCCTCGTAATCTCCCAACCGGGAGACCAGCACTGCGCCGTCGTCGGGGGCATCATGGCCCTGCGGATGAAAGTCCGGGGCGTGCTTGGCGTGGTGGTGGACGGGAGAGTGCGCGATCGCGCGGAGCTCAAGGCCTCCGGGCTGGGGATCTGGGCGAGGGGAGGGTCGACGGTGGGGAGTGGGGCGGAGGCGAAGGCGGGGGAGATGGGTGGGGAGGTGTGTGTTTCGGGGGTTGTTGTTAAAGAGGTAAGAAACCTTTTGTGTCACTGGGGTGGTGTTTGTTTGGCTAATGGTGGGATGGTGGATGGGTGCACAGGGAGACATCATCTTCTGCGATTACGAGGAAGGAGGAGTGGTGGCTATACCTCGGGAGATGCTGGATCGGGTCCTCGAGGTGATGCCGAAGTTGGTGGGCATGGATGATAAGGTTAAGGAGGCAGTGGAAGGGGGGATGAGTGTTTTTGAGGCGTTTGGGAGGTTTAGGGGGAAGATTTAGGTCAATCCCTCTCTACTCTACTGTATAGATAGTTAGTGGGGTGGGATTTGGTTGGTAGGTTCAATTTGTATACAGTAGTATGGTATATAAGGGTCGTGTGAAGACCAGCTTGAAGTATAACGAGAATTAGATACAAATCGCTAGGAGAGACAAAACAAAATCATCAATCTAAGTAAGTTACACACACAGCCTTTTTGATTTACTCCGCAACCCAAACGGCCGCCATACCCATACCTGTGCCCACGCACATGCTGCTGACGCCGATCTTCTTGTTCGTCCGCTTCAGCTCCGTCAGCAGCGTGCTGATCTGGCGCGAGCCCGTGCAGCCGAGCGGGTGTCCGAAGGCAATTGCACCACCCTTGGGGTTGATCTTCTCCTGTGGCAGACCCAGCTCGTTGATGCACCAGACGCACTGCGAGGCGAACGCCTCGTTGATCTCGTAGATGTCCACGTCGTCCTTGGTGATGCCGGCCTTCTCCAAGGCCACGGGGATAGCCTTCCACGGGCCGATACCCATGAGCAGGGGCTTAACACCCACGACGCTAGCAGCGACGTACTTGCCGAGGATCTTCTGTCCCAGGCGCTCGGCCGTGGAGCGCTTCATCAGCAGCACGGCGGCAGCACCGTCGGAGATCTGGGAGGCGTTTCCGGCGTGGATGGATCCGTCCTTGGCGAATGCAGGCCGGATCTTGCCCAGCGACTCGGGGGTGATGCCGTCACGGATGCCGTCGTCGGCCTTGACGGTGATGGTCTTCTCCTCGCCGGACTTGGGGTCCGTCCACTTAACTTCCAGAGGGATGATCTCCTCGTTGAAGAGGCCGGCTTTCTGGGCCTTGACGGCCTTCTGGTATGAGGCGGCGGCAAAGGAGTCCTGGGCTGCACGAGTGACGTTGCGGTCCTTGGCCATCTGCTCGGACAGAACACCCATGGGAACCTTGCAGTTGGCCGACTCGGGGTGGGCCTCGAGAAGCTCGGAGAACTCGGTCACGGCACCGGGGCTGATGCTCGTTAGCTTACATATCAGAGAGGGTTGAGGTGAGGGGGCGGAACTTACCCGTATTGAGACGACATGCTCTCGACACCAGCACCAATACCAACTTCGATCATGCCCGATTTCACGGCATTGGCGATATCCACGATCGCCTGAAGACCGCTAGAGCACTGACGGTTCAGACTCTTGACGGCAGTAGACTCGGGGAAGCCCGCCACCAGGGCGGCAGCACGGAATTCCGTCGCACCACCACCTGGGGCAAGGACGGAGCCGACAGCAATGTCGTTGACCTGACTGGGGTCAATGCCGCTGCGGTCGATGACTCCCTTGAAGACACCGGCCAGCAAATCAGCGGCAGCGGTGTCCTTGAAACCACCTTTTCCACCCTTTGTAAGAGCCGTACGCAGAGCGCAGGTCACGACGATATCATCGGGGTGCTTCTCCGTGATGGCGGAGACTCCCTTCTTGCCACCAGGGCCGAAGTGGGAAGCCACCTGAGACAGACGTTGCTGGGCTAGTAACGCAGGACAGTTAGTTTAGAACCCTTTTTGAGACCAACAGAGGCTACTGTAGACTTACCAGAAGACATGATGACGTCAACGGGAGACTCGAATATAAAGAAATGAGATGCGCTAGTGGTATCTCCAAAGAAAGAGGAAAAAGGTTTTGAAGAGACTGAAGATACGAAGAACTGAACCCCTGGTCTTATAAGAATCTGGGGCAACGTGGAGAAAGCCAGTCACTTGCAATCAAACCGGCTGGGCTGCTCAGCTCTGCTTCAATGAACCGAGGCTTATGCGCATCATTGTTGTTCCGCGGAGGCGGGTCACGGGATGTCGGTCCACGAGGCAGCGGTTTCATGTGAAAAAGCAATGCACTAGAATGGCTGCTAAGTAATGAGTTGCATGTGCTGCTTTTTAGGGGGGTATGCGTATGGGTACGTCATGCGATCAGCAGGACCAAAGATGAAGGCAGGTATTATGGTCTGCTGGTGGTGTCCTGCAGTGATTAGTGATCTTGATGCATACTAGTGTCACATGCCTATGTAATTGCTTTGTTTTAAGATATATATATCTACGTAGTATTACCATGAACCCGTCCTTACGTTCCCAACAATCACCTCTATCGCACTATATGCAATGTAACAAACCCATAACAGACAATACCGATTTAAATACCAACCTAGAAAATCCCTTTAACTACGTACCATCTAAGATGTAGTAAGTAGTAAGCCATCTAAACAATGAAAGTCCACCACACGAACCAATCACCACCGAGCGGAACCCAACCTACGCCATCAGGCTAGTCTCTCCGCGGGCGGAATCCCACCCGCCCGGCGACAACTTTTCCTCCGCAATTCAAGATCGATCATCCCATTGACCGACTCTCTATAGTATCATCCATCAACCTCAATTTCATCCCAGCCTCACACCAATGACCACCTCCCTCCTCTTCCCGCGGCGCCTCGCCGCACTCACACTATCAAAGCCCCTATTCCCGAAACCACAAGCAGCAGCAGCTACCCGCACCCTCCCATACCTTCACCACACCCAAATACAACAGGTACACCTCCAACCAACCAACTTTCCATAACATAGCATAACACAAACTAACCATCAAACCAAATCCTCAAATATAGATCCGCCCCCTATCCCAAACCCCGCATACCCTCTCCTCCCCCTTCCGCCTCAGCACCAACAACAACCCGAACACATACGACCCCGAAGAAGGCGAATACTACAGTCCCTACAAACCGAAACGTCAATGGCCACCGGACATGTCGAAGCTCTCCCCGAAGCATCAGTTCCGGCTAGAACGGAAATATCGTCGTCGGGCGGCGCTGAAATATGCCCGGCCGAAGTGGGTTAAGGCGACGAAGATTACGCAGTGGGTGGTTATTGGGTGTATGTCCATCTATTCCCCGTCTGTATTTATTTGGTTTGGCGATGGCGGCAAACAATACGTGTGACGTGAAATTTGCAAGGTTGGGGGAAGGCTAACGTTTATGATGATGGAATTTAGTTGTTCTGGTGTATGCGTTGCTGTTTATGGAGTGGGATGAGCGTGGGAGTCCGTTTGATGAGGTGAGTAACCTATCTATCTGTGTGTTGAATATGGTTGAGCGGGTCGTTAACTGTGGCTAGATTCGACGGACCTTCTTTGCGGGTGTCAAGGGTGCTTTTTCGACGCCGCCGCCGCCTCGTCCTGTGAAGAGGTCGGAGGATGAGTCGGGTACGCAATAATCAGGTCAAGCCAGGTGCTGGAGGTTGACAACGGCATATCATTAGACTAGACCACTCCGTTCAATCTACACTGTATAGTATCCTATCCTGTACAACTATCATATGATTGGAATATAATGACAGCGAAGCTTAAGCCGCTCATGTTGACAACAGTAGAACTAAGCATACTCCACATCGGTCATGTCGTGCCTGCTATAACGCATCTGTCCAAGAAAAAGAATGATCGGCCTGACATGCAATCAAAGAACGTCAATATCGTCAGGTCTGTGGCCCTATGCCGTCATGAGTCGTTTCGCCGTGGCCGTCAAGTGACGGTGAGATGCACCCAAAACACCGCAGAAATGCCAACGCCGTCCAATCCCGATTCTCCAAAGTCACAATGATGAATAACAAACAAATCAGGTAACAACAACAACAAGTCAAAAACAGTAAAAGCCGTCATAATGCGGTGTCAACGTCGCCAACCAAGTAGAGACGTGACCGGTCTGCGCAGCCATAGGCTCACGTCTAAAGCCAATTCCCAAGGCCACTGTTGCCTTGGGCCCCGCCACGGCTAGCAGGGACATCCAGCGCAAGTTCCAGCTTGGGAGGCTGTTCGTCCAAGACACCCTTTCTGGGGCTTCCAGCTGCTGCCTTGATAGGGGACTTGCTCGGCGATCCAGGCTCCGGCCGAGGAGGGCCCTCGCGGACAGAAGTGTATGGCCACCCGTCATCTACAGCTGCAGCAACCCATGTCTTTAGGCAATCGTGCACGGAGGAATAGAACTTCTCCTTGCATGTTCGCAAACTGCCGCCCATAACCTTCTCGAATCCCGAAGCTCGGAACTCATCTCGGAGCTGGTTACGTTCTTCACTCGTTGGCAACGACGCCACCAGGCCATTCATGAGGTCCAGGTGCGCAGCCAGGTAGTTGGTCGCATCCCATTCCACGCCACCAACATAAGGAGCGGCGGGAACTGGAGGCCTAGGGGCAGGGAAATGACGCTCCCGGTAGCTCATGTACGACTTGTCGTCTTTCAAGATCGGGATCACGTTGAGATGATGCAGGAAGATCCAGAAAACTTCCTTAGTCACATTGGTAACCTCCTTGCACCAGACTCGGTAGGGGCGTGACTGATATATGTTCGCGATAAAGCTCAGAGGCTGACTCTCCTCCGGGGGAGACGGGTCGCGCAGGTAGGATAAGATGCGTGAAGCCCGACTGGCTGCCATCTCGTCGGACGATACAGCAGAGAGCTGAGTAAACAGGAGATTGATGATGATCCCACGGGTTGTGTACTCGCTTGGGCCCTTCTTCTCTTCGTCAAAGAGCATTCGCAGCAATGCGGGGAACAGTTCGCCCTCGATGTTGGTGAGATGTTGCAGAGCGATGGACGTCGTGCAAAGAGCTTTCAAGCATAACAAGGTTTCGTGAAGCAAGGTATCTTCATGCTCTTCCCTATTCGAGTTATGAGCCCCCGGTTTACCAATCAGCGAATACGTTAAACTCACCTCCATTCAACCTTCATGATCCGGTAGAGCAGCTGCACCACCTCATCCATCCCACCGTCCGCAATGAACGTATCAACCCAGCTGACAGTTTCATTCCGGAGGAGGATGCGAAGCTTGTGCATCTTCCCAACCTCAACCATTTCTGGCTTCTGAATTTCTCTCAGATAATGCACAAAGTCCGACGGATCAGCTGCAGTATCACAAGCTGTGGCAGAAAGTGAGGTAGTGGAAGCTGACGGGGTACCGAGCCTGGAGAATCCTGTGGGCTGCGAATAGTCGGCCGACTTTGGACGCCTATAGAAACTTCCGCTATCCGGGCGCTTCTTGGGCGAAGAGCTGCCTTTGGAGAATGAGAAGCCGCGACTGCGGGATCGCGAGCGAGATCCTTTGCTGTCATGGCCATGGCGGTCCTCCTTTGGCTCCTTCTTGCGCCCGCGACGACCGGTACTATCTGTACCACTAGCACCAGCGCTATGCGGCGTAGCATTTTCAGCTCGATCCTTCATGATGAAATCTGCCTTTATGTTGGTATCCAGAGACCTCATCTTGTCTCGCATATTATGAGGGATATTTCTAGCATCCTGTCTCATTATTAGTCTAGGCTCTTGATACCAAGAACAAGGTTAGTTCAAGATGTACTAACCAGTAGCTTTTCAAACTCGCTCTCAAGCTCCTTGCCGGTCAAGCGTTTCTGCAGTTCAGCCTCCTGCTCTTTTGCATTGAATGCTGAGATTGCCGCCTGGACGCGAGAGAGTCGTTTCGGGCTTGCCTCCGGTTTGCATTCCACTGGGGGATGGTATTCCGGGCGTGAGAGTGCTCTGGGCCTCCCATGTTTCTTGGGCGAGGCGGGTTCTGGTTGGTTACCTGAAGCCAGCTGGTTCGCCGTCATGCCATCTATAGGATCCATTAGTTCTTTCACCTTGCGATTGCCCGCGAGGTAGTCCGATTTTGGGCGTGGCTTGGGATCCCCGCGTGCTCTGAGAGAGGGTCCATCGTAGTCATAGAAGTTTCGCTGAAGAGTGGGACCATACTCCCTAGGGGTGTAGAGGGAAACCTCTTCCTGTAAAGTCCTACGCTTGTGCTGGGAACTGGAAACCTCAGGCTGGTTGTAGTACGGCGGTGTTGGGTAGTGGCCCCACATTGGAGAGGGCATGCTATCGACAGGGTCCGATGGGCTGCGGTTTTCTTTGTCCCGGGCGCTTTTCGAGTTTTCTCCTTTTCTTCCGCGTTGAGATCGTTTCAGGATAGCCGTGAGACTGTTGGCCGACTTTGCTTTCTTCGGCTTCAAATTCGCTGCTTCGTCATCTGGCGTCTCATCCGACTTGTCCTTGCGTTCCATATAGCTCTTGAGAGATTTCAGTGAGACGGCGCTTTTTGTCTTTTTGTGTAGAGTGTGTTTCCCTTGCTTTCCAGGTGATCTCTGGGTTGAACTAACGTCTGCTGAATCCCGGTTCGGGGCTATTTCTGCCAGTGGCTGTTCCGCAGGGTGGTAAGGTCCATCGACTGGGGGCGCATATGGGCTGCCACTAGGCTGGCCTGTTTCAACGACCCTCGGGGCGAGGACATCATCTGCAGATGAAGTCCGTTTGTGGGCCTTGGATGACCAGATAGCTCGCAGGACGGATGGTTTGGTAGGTCCACGGGAGGAATCGTCAAAGATGCTCGGGGGTTGTATGCTGGGAGCCATGTCTTATCGCCTTTGGCCCGAAACTGATTAGGAAGCCACAGGCTGTGTTAGCAGAGGACAGCCATCAGGATGAAGGTTACTATGGAACGGGTAGGCGCAGGCGACTCACGGTGAAAGGGTGCTCCCGCGTAAAGATAGATCGAACACCAGCGAAGGATACGAACGCAGCGGAAAATTCTATGCAAAGCAGGATAACAAGGACATGCAAGAGTAAAATACCGACGACATGGATGAATGTCAATTAGGAGAAGGAAATGAGGTCAGACAAAAAAAAAGGGTAACAAGGTAACTAAGGAAGAGAAGAGAAGACACCGGTGCGAAGGAACAGGAGACACAGCAGCAACAGCAAACACCAGAGAGTCAACCTCAGGTGGGTAGACCGGGAATTTGAAGCCCTTCAAAGGTCTAAGACGGGCAGGAGCCGTAAGCATTCCCCCACTGCATAGCCTAGTCTGCCAACGCCGTTGCCAAACGGCTGGAGATGGGAGCACCGCAGTGAAGCGGAGGGTGTAAACACTGTGCGGGCAGGGAGGTTGCTGGGGGCAACCGCGCCTCCGGTCGCGCCGGACAGTGCATCACCCCGTCATGATCGTCTATCTATCAATCGGGCAGTTAATTGATCGGGCAATCATATCACTTCCATCATCCTCCGTGTCCAGCCCGTCCAGAAAGCATATCCGATCACCCGTCATAGTGAGCTGGGGCCCGTCGCGATGGAAATTGGGGTCGATGTCATAGTGGAGGAATAGCCGGCATGGAACCGGCTATTGAATGGACCATCACAATCTGCTTGGGTCGGAGTGGGTGAGAGATCATATATAATGTCATTGGATAACCAGGAATTGGACAGAATAATATATTTGTCTAACTATAATGCTGTCATCATTGTGATCGGTAGTAGCTGGTGTGGGTTTCCGTTCCTCTTCTTTTCCTCATAGTCGTATCCACTGTTGGATGTCAACACGATGGGCTCTTGACTGATCTGTTGGCGTGCCGAATCGGGACTAGTCCGGCGCATGATGTAGTTACTTCCAGTCTAGACAACTACCACTATGCTCTCTCTCTATCTAATTACGCTCTGCTCTCACCAGTATTTGCTCGATCAATAAATTATTGCTCTCTTTGCTTTTGCATCCCCACGCTAATCATTATGGAAGCCTCTACTGCTCTGGCCGATATCAAACGATGTGAACAACAGGCAAGGGGTGAACATTGCCCCTATATCTTACTCGATTTAGGAAATAGAAGACGACCTCCTCACTGCTCTAGGTAGCCATCTAATGGTCTGTCACAGATCCTTGGGAGTCAAAACCGTCCCTCAAGTCCAAGAAGAGTAACACAAGAAAAGGGATATCGCTTGGAAGATCTGAAACAATTTGTGCGACTTGCGATAGCTAAAAAACAACCTCTTGGAGTGAACCAACAATTCCCATCTCAAAATAAATCAGACTCGAATCAAGTGATTAGTCCCATACGGGAAAATGACCAGGATATATCAGAAGACATCTGAAGTCTGTGAGACGTGTACGACACACATTGTTACTGACCATTTGCTTGATGCTACACAATGTCTACAGGACTCTCGATCCGAGTCGTCTGATAGCCGTTTAAACTTTCAAGCACTGACAGACGGTCTTGTGCTATTTTGAGATACTAGATGCTCACGTTAACCTACAGCAGGGGTTATTATCTAGAGACCCTTGAAAGATGCCCTGGGTTATCTCTGGGAGACCTGTGTGGGCAGTCAACGCTGATATACCAATACCTAGAGGATCAAAACCGAACGCAGATTGAATAACTGACTTCATTGGCCACAAGGGCTACATCGGTTGACTAGTACAATGGACACAAACATCCAGCATGGACCGTCTTCGCTTTAGAACTACCATACAACAGTCGGTTATAGAAGCATATTCCACTCGATGTAGGTTGGGGATGCAGAACTCAGGTGGGTTCCTCAATGCCAACTATGCTGTTGATCTGGGGACTAGCATGCATCTTGCGTAGTTTTCAAAGTACCTAATACATCGAAGAATCACTTAAAAAAAGCCATGACTGTCCATCTAGCCATCTTGCATAGAGAGTAATAGTTGCCGTGC